AATTGGGAGCCTCAAAGTTTGGAAACAAAACATAAACAACTCTAAGCATTACCACGCGACTGCTCAATCTCCTCATTACTCTTATCATCACCCAACTTTCCCTTATTCTTATCATACTCTTCAGCATTCTCCGTTGCAAGTCTGACAGCATTAGGGACCACTTCCCTTCTGCCATCTACGTAGTCTGAAACACAAGCCAATTTCTTTAGCAAATAAACAATCACAATTGTTGCAAAATCTCAAACAAACTGTTAATAACACTCATACTACCTGGTAAAATTTCACTCTCCACATTGGTTCTGCCATTGCTCACTACTCCTTTGTTTTTTTGGTACTCTTTCGCCTTCTCCATCGCCCTCCTAACAGCTTCAGGAATCTCCTTTTCTCCACCATCCCCCTCCTCTGAAATCGGACCTTATATTATCATTGAATTTCAATCTCAGACAGTTTCACAATATCATCAATCAACCATAACTTTTTAAAAACACATCACAACCACCCCAAAATAGTAATTCCTCTGTTTATATATAGTTGCAATGTTTTTATTTTCAGGCTTGTCTCTACATACTACCAACGGTTAATATATCAAATTATCAATAATAAACAATCAATCAATCAAAGCCTTAATCCCATAAGTGGGGTAACCTACATGAACCAAATTTGATTATTCCGTATAATCATGGACAAAAATTATCAATAAGAAACAAGTTTGAAAATTAAAGTTAAGACTAATCAAACAAGATATAGAAACGTTGCAACTAAATGAAGCAAAGTAAGTATTTTATTGTACTTTTCAAGACCACAATTATCATATACGTTTAAACAATCATAACCTAAACTTTAGTGAGACTTAGGTATTTTCAATTTTTTTTTTTTACCTTGCTCTCTTAGAATTGTAGTAAAGTGTTACGGGGTGGTACACATTTACACAAGAAATGCGATCAAATCTCGTCTACATCACTGCCACATTCTACACACCATAACATGCCAATTATATACTAATCCACAACATATATTTTTGAAAGAAAAAAAAAAACCATTTTACCTGACAAAATCTCATCTTCTTCAACATTGGTTTTGTTCAGCTGAAACCCATCATTTTCACTTACAATTCCATTAGATTTAGCAACTGGGTATTTTGTAATTTCTTGATTTTTACCCAATTGCAATGATTTCTTATACTCTCTAGCTCTCTCATGTGCAAGTTTAACTCTGTCTGGTACAGATTCTTCTAAGCTTTCTTCTTCTGGCTCATTCAATTCATCTTTTGAATTTCTAACAATAATAGAAGAGACTTTAAAGGGTTTAAAATTGATAAATTTGGGGTTTGTGGGATAAAAAAGATTGGATTTTTTGGTGGGTTGAAAGGTTTTGGTAGAGTGAAGAGAACAAAACCATGAAGATTGACTGAGAGATGACATAATTTGTTGATTAAGATTACTTAATTAAAGGTTTAATATGTTTTCTTGGATATTAATTTGGCCATGAACATCAATGGATTTTGGTGTTGTGCTTTTTGGAAAATGCCGGTAATTTGACGAGGAAAAATCCTAAAATCGGATAAATGAAAAGTCCAACCAGGTTCACAGATAAAAAGGAAAATATAATAAAAATTGTATGCCACGTGTGAGCAATTTGGCTTCGTTATTTATCTTACAACAAGTCAACAATTAAGGGAATTTTTTGAGTAATATATAATTGAAGGTACTAACGTTTGTCAAAAGTTGCAAAGAGAGTACTAACGTTTTAAAAGTTGCAAAGAAGGTACTGAACCCACTATTTCAAGTTAACAATTCGATTGCAATTGCTTATAACCGATTACTTCCTATTTCCCTTTAAAAAAATTAAAAAAAAAAAGCTTAATTGTCCACTCAGCTGCACTTTGGGAAGTGAAAAGCCATCATTACACTGACAATGGCGCGATTTTTGGAAAGGTTAATGCCTTTTTATTCACTCTTTCACCCCATTGGCTTCCTCATCACTTCCATTTTCAGAAACCAGAGCATTCCAAAAAAAAAACTCATACTTCCTCTTCAAGAAAATCGCCATTAATGTGGGAGTGTGCTTGTCAATCTTCCTGCAAGAAAGCAAAGTTGGTTGAGCTTCAATCTACTCAAGGTATATTCCCTTTTTTTGTCTTCACCTTCTTAATTTCGCCATTAATGGTGTTGTATGCTTGTTCCGTTTTTTTTTTTTTTTTTTTTTGGCGAATTTTGTTTGAAAGTAATTTTACTTGTTTTAGTTATCATGATCTTGTATTTTGTTTGCGTAATTCTGTTGTTGTGGGTGATTATCAAAATTGAATTGTGTTGTTGTAGGGTAGAATTTCTTGAGAATTATTTCTAGGGTTTTGGCTAACTGAAATAGAGTAGTTTTTTCCATGGAAAATACCTTGTCTGATCTAACTCCATTAATTTACCTAGGTATGGACGCTCTTTCCGATGCTCACCCAATTTTCAGCAACCCCGATTTGCTTGTGGTCCAAGTCTTCTCCAAGCTGCACTGGGGTAGTCGGGATAATGTGAAGAAGGGCTGCAGGAAATGGCGTCTGTGGTGGAAGACCCGCCACCTAGCCCGACTCCAACCCTTTTTCGGTCCCAGGGCCTCTGTCAATGAGTAGATCCTCAACGACCTCATTTACAATAATGATGGCCGTGACTTTCGTGCCTGGATCAACATTGACATGACAGTCTATTTTGATGGCTTTCCTCTGCTCTTCAAGGAGGATGTGTAGGTTGTTGTTGTTAGGTTGGGTGGGGGGTATGTGCAACTAAATGGTTTTTGGGGTTAAGAGCTGCTAGATTTAAGCTTGTTCTTATTTTTATTTTTTATAAGTTTTAAGATGTGAATTGTAGGAGTGCATTGTCATGGTTAAGTATGTTTTTGTTGTTAAAGTGACAAATCATTTATGATCTTTTGGGATTTGTCACTACCATGACAATGCTTAGGTTGAAATGGATGGCTTGGCTTGTATAGCCATTTTGTAATGGAACAAATGTATATGTATGAATGAAGCCACTTCTTTTGCTGTGTTGTTATTATTATGCACTTATTTTATCATGAATAAAATGCTATGATATGCTTATTAAGAGAGTGCTTATTGTGGCAGAAAATATGGATGAATTAAGACCATGTTTAGTTGTACATTAATTAATTAAGGAGAAGACATGAATTAAGACCACTTTGTATTTCCTGTAATTTTTGTAATTGCTTCTTCTGATATTTTTTTTTTCAATAGATGCAAGGTGGAGATGATGGCTATGGAGATGAGTATATATGGAAGTCAGTTTTTTTGGAGTTGTACCAGCTATAATTTAACTGATAGATTTCTTGAACAATGGCAAACTTTAGTCCCCTCTTTATTAATGTTAGAATTTTAATTTTCCTTTTTTTTTGTTTGGTTAACCTGTTGTAGAAGGTCAATTATGTGGTGAGTACTCTATCTGCAACTTTTGAAACGTTAGTACCTTATCTGCAACTTTTGGCAAACGTTAGTACCTTCAATTTGTATTTACTCGGCATTTTTTTTGTTGTTTTTTTTGTTTTTTGTTTTTTTTTAAACAAAAAACTAAAACATGGAAACAAGAAAAAGGTTTTTTCACTTTTCTATTATCAATTTTCAAAATTAATATGAGTTTTTAATAAATTTGACTAATTTTTTATTAATTATATGACATGTATCATATGATTTTGGAAAACATAAAACCAAAAACAGAAAACTACAATGATGTCAAACGAACCTTAAACAAGTAGTTTTTAAACCCGTTCTATATATGGGTTATGTATAAGTTATTAAAATTCACAAAATTGCTTGAATAAATTAGCTAATTGTATGGTAGTTAATCAATAATTCGTATTGATTATAGAGAAAGGTAAAAATGGAGGATATATGGCAAATTCGATTTGTGTTTTTAATTAGTAAAGTAAAGATTTTTTGAAAGTTTTTTTTTCTTGGTTTTGTTTCGATGATCAAATTTTGGTGTATTGTTTTTATTTTTCCACGATTTTTCAAATCAGTCTTCTTATATATGTAAGGGGTCTTGTGATTGGGTAATAATAGAGCACGCAAGATTGGACTTTTTTCAATGGTAAGGAAAATCCCAAACCTTTTGAATCAGAGAAAAAAAAAAATTCAAACTCGGCTCGTTTCACTTGTATTCAAACTTGATGTGTGGTTCGAGCTTTGTTGCTACAAAGTATTTTCTTTACTTTCTTGGGATTGTTTGGAATTGGCGATTGACTGATTTGTTTGACCAGTTAAAAGTATTTGTTTGGCGATTGGCCAACGAATTATTAGTTGTATCTTGTATGCTTGTATGATTGACTTTTTAATTGTTTGTTTAAGCTAGTTGTCTACAACAATGTGGAAAAATCAGCTGTATTGGCTTTTTGCTTTTGGCTGAAAAATTAACGAAAAAAACCAACAATCAAATACGTTTTTGGGTTGTAACCAAACTAAAAAGCCAAAAATCTAAACTCGAGCAAAAAACTAAATACTCTGTATTCGCCAAATATTCCCCTTACCATAACTCTTAGCTCAATCTAACTCGTGCAAATCAGTTTATATCAGTTTAATAACTTAATTGTAATGCAATACGAGTACTCCATATCCAATGTTAATATTCAATGCTTTTGTAGTCTATTTTTCGGGTCGGATATCCGATCGTAGCTCATAGCCCCTTTCGTTGCAACCACGGTGTGCACTCACTTAAATCAATTAAATCATTATGCAGCAGTTTGCGCAATAGCTGAGCAAAGAGTGACAGGAAAACAGAAAAAACAGCAAAAATGCGTCGACTTACTGGTAATTTTCTCTTCATCATCTTCTTCGTTCTGCAAATCCCCAATCTTCCATCATATACTCTGTATTTCAATTTCAATTTCAATTTCAGTTTCGTTTACGAAATTACTCAAATTGTGCAAATGAAATCGATACTTTTGTTGATCGTCAATTATTTATCAATCATGTAAGAGACCAATGTAAATTAGGGTTTTCCGACATGAATATCCCCCTTTCCCTCTTTCGTCAAATGATTTCTGTTCACCCTCTTCCTTCAATCATTGATTTCTGTCAATTATTCACTGCAATGTCTAAATTGAAACGTCTGCAACCTCATTCCACCATTATCGCTCTCTTCAGGGAGCTTGAGTTGTTGGGTATTCAGCCCGATAGACATTCATTGGGTATTCTTGCTAATTGTTATTGTAATTTAGGTTGTGTCGATTTCGGGTTTTCTCTTATGGGTAAATGCCTTAAGCTTGGATATAACCCTAATTGTGTTACATATAATACTTTGATTAATGGGTTTGTTCTTGGTGATAAGTTGTCTTTAGCTAATAAATTGTTGGATAAGACTGTTAATCAAGGGTTTCAACCTAGTATGGCTACATATGCTGCTTTGGTTAAAGGGCTTTGTAGGATGGACCGAAAAGTGGGTGCTATTAAGTTGCTTAGTAGAATGCATTCGGGTCCTTTTAAGCCGTGTGAGTTTATGTACACCACCATTATCGAGTCTCTTTGTAAGGACGGGTTGTTAAACGAGGCATTGGATTTGTTTGCTGATATGAAAAGTGAAGGTATTAGTCCTGATGGTGTCACGTATGCCACCTTGGTTCAAGCCATCTATAAGTCTGGCTCTCGGAAAGAGGCTAAGCGTATGTTGGATGAGTTATTAGATAGCAACATAGGGCCGGATGTTCAGACCTTTACTACGCTGGTTGACATGTTTTGTAAAGATGGGTGTTTATTTGAAGCAGAAGCGGTTTTGCAGTACATGATTGAGAGAGATAAGGCTCCAGATATTGTTACTTACAGTGCATTACTTCATGGATATTGTTCACGTTTCAAGATGAGAGATGCCGAGAAGCTACTTGATCTCATGGCTCAAAATGGTTGTGAGCCTGATCTTGTCATTTTGAGCACTATGATTAAAGGTTATTCCAAGATTGGAAAAATTGAGAAGGCCCGCAGCTTATTCCAAGAGTTTTATAAGAGAGGGATAAAACCTGATGTTGTTGCCTATACCACTCTTATCAATGGCCTGTGTAAAGCGAAAAAACTCAGGATTGCTCGTAATTTTTTCTGTAAAATGCAAGATCGTGGCATTCCTCCAAATGTTGTCACCTATGCTTCGTTGTTTGATGGCTTATGCAAAAGTGATAGTACTGATGTGGCAATGGGAATGTTGAAAGGTATGGAAAGAAAGGGTGTTCAGCCTGATATCACCATCTACAATATCCTACTTGACAGCTTGTGTAAGGCCGAACGGTATGATGATATGTCGAAGTTGTTATCTGATCTTGCAGTCAAGGGTTTGGATGCTGATGTTAAAACGTTCAATATAATGATCAATGCCTTCTGCAAGAAAGGGCTTATGAGTGAAGCAATTCAGTTACTGACTGAAATGGAGGAAAAAGGCTGCTATCCCAATAGTGAAACCTATGATAATATTGTTAGAACATTTATTCACAAGAATAACTTATCGATGGCATTATACTATCGGGATGTTATGGTTGACAAGGGATTTGAAGCTGCTGCTAAGAAATTACCATTATCTAAGAAATCACGATGAAAGTAGACATAAATTAGAAATGACTGCAGTGATGGGCAGTTCTGTTTTTTCTGTCTTATGTAAATGTCAAAGCTCACAGTGCTATATTAACCATATTACACAATACACACCATTTTAATGGCCTTGCTAAATGAAGAAAACTTTACACAACCATGGAATTAGAATTTAGTATGTTCATATATACTTTCTGTTATTTTGAACCGGAATTCTGGTATGTTTGCTGATATTGCTATCTGAAACTCATATATGCCCCTTGTTTTGGCCGAATTCGGGAAGAGAAAGAGGTGATAGCTGCAGGGAGAATGAGGGATATTTTTGCAGAAAAATATAAAAGTAAATTCAAATTCAAACTTGGAAAAACATGTTTTTTTACACAAGTTCCAAATCAAGGGATCAGACGACCAGTGCATGGCAGGGGAGAAGCTGATGAAATGCAGAATTTTGAAAACTAAAAAAAAAAAAAAAAAAAAAAAAACAGCTGTTCAATCCCATGAATAAATTCACATGTTTTGTTTTATTAGTGCTACAATACATGCATGGATTCTTCTGCATTTGGCTTCTTTCAAATATAATTGATAATTCCAACTGCCAAAACTTCTAAGATAAATCCATCAGACGTTGCTACCAAAGTTTAGAATTCTGAATCTTCTATAAATAACCGTAACCATTTCTTGGTATATTACAGAGCTACCAACTTTTGATCTGACCTAATGTCTCAGATAATACCCAAAGTTCCGAAACAGGGAACAACACAGAGGGGGGTAAGATTAGTCTTATTCCCTCTACCCTTGCAAAGCCATGTTGCACCGATGTTCCATCTAGCCACTCTACTCCACGTAAAAGGTTTCGCAATAACCATCATCCAAACTAAATATAGGGCTCTTGATCCTACTCTATTCCCACACTTCACGTTCCACCTCCTTGACGATGATGGCTTGCCTGATAACGCCACTTTCGGACCATGTAATCACACCACCATCCTAGCCACCCTAAACACAAACTGCTCAGAACCATTCAGAAATTGCATATCCCGGATTTTGAGCAAGGACCACGTCGCTTGCCTTATTACAGATCCTATGTGGTCATTCACAAAGTCTGTTGCCACTAGCTTCGGCCTTCCCAGGATTGTGCTCAGGTGTGCTAGCATGTCTAGTTTTTATGTTTATCATTCACTGCCGTTTCTACGAGAAAAGGGCTACTACCCTCTCCAAGGTACTAACCTTGGCAATATTCTATTTCAAATTCTACTCGTTACAAACGTAATCTTTCACTATATATCCATACATACCAACGTAATCTTTCGTTTATTATAGTACTTTGTATCTGTTAAGGAATCATTCGAGATAATATGAGAAAGATCAAATTTAAACTTACAAAATTATGAAACAGGACAAAAGCCAAGCTAAAATAACTAAAGGCTTTCAAATAATCAATATAGAAACAAAAATAATATGTCCAAACTTACCTATCCAACACGTGTAAATACTATAATATGATAACGAACAACCCAGGGCAACACCCTGGCCACACACGTGTCGATGTACTTTACTAAACTGCTTTGAAACAGTTGCTCATGTAAATGCATCATTACTTGGAATTTTTACATGTCAATGCAATTTGTACTTTATTGAAATCCAATGCACTAACAACTAGCAAATGAAATCCTTATTACATTTCTTTTCTTTCATTATTTATCCAAGTCTATCTCACACACAAAAAATATGATTCAGAGTCCAAGTCAGATGAGCTAGTACCAGAGCTTCCCCCTCTCAAAGTGAAAGACCTACCTCAAGAATCAAAACATAACCTCTTGGTTGATATAATTAGAGAAATGGAGAATACTCCAAGGAATCATCTGCAACACTTTCGACGAACTTGAACATTTTTACATAACAAGAGTTCACCAAGCCCTTCCCATCCCTATCTTTACACTTGGTCCAATACACAAAAACTCACCGAGTTTTCATCAAGCAAGCATATGGACACAAGACCATACATCCATTTCATGGCTAGACACACAACCCCCTAAGTCAGTCCTCTATGTTAGTTTTGGGAGCATGGTACAAGTGACTAAAGCCGATTTTGTAGAGTTAGCCTGTGGGTTGTTCGTCGTGGCTCGATTGAGGGATCAAATGAGACTGATCCACTCCCCTTGCCAGAGGATTACTCAGACACAATATGTCAAAGGGGTAATATAGTCAACTGGGCACCTCAACAACAATTTTTAGCCCATCCTGCAGTAGGTGGTTTCTTGACACATTGTGGATGGAACTCGATCATGGAAAGCATTAGTGAAGGTGTACCAATGCTTTGCCTGCCCTTCTTTGCTGATCAAGATATAAACACGAGGCACGTATGCGACAATTGGAGGATCGGAATGGAGCTGGACAAGGGGATTCAAAGGGGTGAAATCGCGAAAGCAGTCAGAAAACTGATGGTGGAAGAAGATGGTCAAGCAATGAGAAGTAGAGTCAGAGCTCTGAAAGAAAAAGCAACTCTTTCAGTAATAAAAGGAGGCTCCTCTTACAAATCCTTGGAAAATCTCACCAACTATCTTATGTCATTCTAATCATGTACTATACCATTTTAACTGTATTTCCTCTGTTCTTCTGTCCTGTGTATTCTCATTGTTATAATGATATGTACGCACCATATTAACAGCCTCGTCGAATGAAGAAAACTTTACATAATAAACCATTGAATTGGAATTGAATCTAGTATGTTCATATATACTTTCTGATGCTTTGAACTGGATTTTCTGTATGTTTATGTTTACTCTCATAAAAAAGTTTGTAGTGTATGAGCAACAAGAATTGTTCTCCCTCAAATTATTGTCATTTTAGGCTAGGACGCGCAAGTAGATAATAGCGTACTTGTTATTTTTGGTAGATAGTGAAAAAAAAAAAAAAAAAATATTAATAGAATGCTAAAGAGTTGGTGGAGGGTCTCACATCACATGAAATAAAAAGAAAGTGATTCGTAGGAATTTTAATGGTGCATGGTAATCGATTCATGGATAACCTGAGCCAATGGTGAAATTACACTCGGGCGCTACCCCTAATCCTCAGGGGCAACTCACACATGATGAATAGAAAACAGTATATCTACTACACAAGTCATAAGTATCAACATTAATTTCACTTGCACGTTAATTTCTCCATTTTCATGTAAAACAAGCCTTCCTAAAATTACATGTAGACATTGTTACAAGTATTTAGAAATGAAAAGGATATACGTAGTACTTAGATTTACAACTGAAGTACATACTATATTCCTTTTTTTATTCTTTGATACGAAGTAACAAGTACGTAGTACTATGTTCGTATAGTTGCTCTTAAAATCTTTTAAACACATTCAAAGACTATAAAATTGAATTGTGTTCTTTTACACGTATCATCCAATTAAAGAAAAAGAGTTGTAGCCATTTTATTTACATACATTTCATGTTCTTAAAATGTAATGAAAACAACTCACTGAAAACATGGACATGGTGTCATGGTGCACGCATATGAACACATGATCATTGATTCTTCGTCCAATGACACTATAGACTTCAATCATGTCACCAATACCCTTGTATACTTCTTCCGTTCTTTTATTATTGTAATGTTTGTACTTCTAGATACTCTACTTTTTTTTCTTTTTTTTGAATAGTCTAAGTGCTCTACTCGCACTCTTCTTTAACCATGTTTTACAAAACATGGAAGCAAAAGAGAGTTTTTATGGTTATACAATTGAAGTTAATTTAATTTTTAAATTGTGATTAGGATAGCTTAATCCACCCTTACCGAATAATTAAAATATATTTTAGGGGATAGGTTGTGAGCCTGTGAGTACAGTTAGACACACTAAAGCACAATTACTTCTAATCTGAATCTTTTTTTTTTTTTTTTTTTTTTTTGAGGAGACTTCTAATCTGAATCTTAGTATCGCCTCAGAACAAAGAGAGAATTGTGTAGAACAAAGACAAGCCTCTACCATTAGTACTTCAAAGATGGCAACTCACTTCCAATTACTCGAACTTCATTAGAAACAACTCACCAATAACTACAAGTAGATTAGACGGGTTTACATCTTTGAACCCTCACGCTTCAGCAGTATCACTAAATAAGTAAATAGTGAAAGCAGAAGCACAAGTAGGGGCACTCAAAAGACCAAAAAAAAAAAAAGAAATAAAAGCTGAAGCATTGTTACAGACAATTAATAATACAAGTCCAGGGAAACATTAAAATGACACAAGACTCGGGTTCCCAAAGAACGGCCTTCAATTTTGGAAGGCGGAGATGATAAGAAGATACAACCCTCAGTTGGACCATACATGTACAAGGCCGTGCCTGTTTCCAGTATATATCTCATTGCGCTCTTCATCATAGAAGAGAGCTGTGATGTCTTCCAAAGCCTCTGCGGGAGTACTCCTTATCCTTGAAGCTTTTACTCGTTTCTTTGAAGAGCTACCACTACTACTGCTACTACAATAATCTTCCAAATTTGAGCAGTTATCTGCTCTTATTTTTGCAAGGCATTTTCCGGTCAAGATATTACTCACATTAATAGAACCAGCTGCAAGACATATTATGGTTAGAGCATAAAGAAATCTGAAAATTTCAAAAGATAATTTTAGCACACTAGTCTAAGACATCACAGGAATAGGCATTCCCGAAGAAAAATGTGGATCTTCCTATGAGAGCAGTGCGAGCAACCAATGAATAATACTTGCCAACAATTATCCAAAAACACTCAACATGTACAGGCAATAATCAAGTTCATTGTCTATCATGTTTCACGAAAAGTATAATGCGCTGTCAATTTCTCAATTCTAAAAAATTTCAATACTGTATAAACCAAAAGCATCAGAAGAAGATTTAGAGGTTTTACCATTTCCTTCTGACAAGGGATCATCAGAATCTGCCTTGCAGTAGGAAATAATAAGATCTTGGTCACTTGTGATATATATGTTGTTTGTATTGCAGTCAGGATGCCACAAGAGGTGGTCCTCAAAGGAAGTGACAAGCTCACCACGGAAGTTCCACACAGCAACGGTTCTATTCCTAAATGTCAAGAATAACTGGTTCTCGTACAGAAATATAAAAGCAGATGGGGTCATAAAGTCGGTTTTACTGACTTCAGTTAACTCAGAGTTCCGTACCTGCAAACAGTGGCAGCATACCATTAGACATAAATAATATTGTTTCTATATAAGAGAATATTACTTAAAAATAAAAAAAATAAAAATAAATAAAAAAAAAACAAGTCAGAGATTTTTACATCAAGAATCTGAAGATTCTCATTTTCCTGCTTGACAAGAAGCTTTTCATTGAATTGTTCGATGAAGTCCACCTTTTTATTACGATGAATCAGATGATTAAATGATTTCAGAACAGTACCATCCTCAATGGACAGTATTTTCAACGGAACATGGCTGGTATTTTTGGTAAATATCAGTAGCATGATCCCTGGGCTGTTTATAGGAACAGAAAGGACACGTGAAGATCAATGCATACAAGAAGACGAGCAAAGCATGTCAGCTACATAAGCAGAAGGAAATCAACATGCTGAAACATAATAAATCCAACAACATTCACATTGACAAGCAATAAAACATATAACATGAGAGGGAAATCAAGACTTTAATATGCTTTAACAGCAATTGCTTTCATTGAATTGTTCGATGAAGTCCACCTTTTTATTACGATGAATCAGATGATTAAATGATTTCAGAACAGTACCATCCTCAATGGACAGTATTTTCAACGGAACATGGCTGGTATTTTTGGTAAATATCAGTAGCATGATCCCTGGGCTGTTTATAGGAACAGAAAGGACACGTGAAGATCAATGCATACAAGAAGACGAGCAAAGCATGTCAGCTACATAAGCAGAAGGAAATCAACATGCTGAAACATAATAAATCCAACAACATTCACATTGACAAGCAATAAAACATATAACATGAGAGGGAAATCAAGACTTTAATATGCTTTAACAGCAATTGCTTTAATTCACCTTAGAGAGCAGGATTAAATTGATTGATAAGATATAAATTAAGCCAATGTACTATAATCATCTTTTGCCAAAAGCATTATCATAATCACAAATAGATGAATGCAGCCTTAACTAATTCACATTTTACTCTATAATAAACTTGATTCTATGTTCACCAACTTCAGTCAAGCATAAAAAGGGAGTTGCAACCACTTTTCATTTTACTCTTTTCAGCAGCCAAAGAATAAAACTAAATATGAAACTCGCTGGCAAAAAAGCAAAAAACTAATACTTGATAGATTAATTAATAATAAGGATCACAGATCAATAAATTACAAACATATTGTCAAATTATGGTTATCAAGCCAGAAAGATTCACATAAGAGAAAAATTATCATTGCAAGAAGGAAAGATTACCTAATCTTAATCTCTTGAACATTTTTGTCAGAAATGGAATACAGCATAGTATAGTTCTTCAAGTCAAAAACCTTGTAAACACTGAAAATGTTTAACATATATCAGTCTATGATTCACAATGAACACAAGGGCAAGAATGATCAAATTCAACCATAAAATATTAAAAACCCAATCATCAAAAGTTACCTATCCTGAGCAGAATATGTGAGGACCTTTCCATTTACATCATCAAACTCCACAAATCCAGGCCACTTTAGCGACTCAGACTCAAAAAGAGCAAACCCAGCATCTGGTTTTCCTCTCTTTATATATCTGGACAATTTTAACAAACAATTTATCATGATCGAATGGGAGAGCTTGTTGATAGACAAACTACTAAACTAAACCAGGAAAAGAGAAAGGAAGGTAACTCTATAGTTTTTTTTTGCCTTGGTTATAACTATTTTAACACCTCGCAGAAACTCATAAATCAAAAGAGATCTGAAAAGATTAAAGTTTACGCACTCAATCCTAGTCGTTCTGCATTTCAAGGAACTGAAATTGTCAGATGCGTATACTGAAACTGTGATAAGAGAATCATTATTTTTGTTGTAGAATAAGCTTCTTATAACTTCATCTGGGCTGACATTCAGAAAACATATTCTCTGGTTGGTTTCTGCAATCAAAAGCACCCATCATTGACCAATCCAACAATCAAGCACACTATTCAATCAATAGACCAATAATATTTACAGAAAGTTGACCACCAGATTCCAGCCACTGACCTCGGCTAAAAGCTGCACAGATACCGGACTGAGCAAGAGCAAAGACAATGTCATGCGCTGCAACAATTTCAATAATTTTAGATCTCTTCCTGAGAAAAGGCAATATTGTAGGACAGTGACCTTTTGGATCATGCGTGTCATACTCTTCCTGTAGCAAAACAAAAAAGGCTTAGATACAGGGAAATGATATTTTATTATTTTTAATAGATTTAAACTTGCTTGCTTTTTGGGCGGTCTCCAACACATGTTTGACCACCACTAATCGACTATATATATTTAATAATGTACAAATGTAAGCTGTGAATATTCGATACCTGGATACCACACATTGTAACGATTCTAACAAAATCCCATGTAATAAATTTTGTTTTCTATGTAAGTAGCAACAGACAGTCAAAGATTTTTTTAATTAAAATTGGCGCATGACTATGGTTAAGATTAAGATGGAGTGCTTTTGCTTTACCATTACCCAACGCATACATATCCTACTTTTAGCATCGGGTAACGATAAACAAAAAGGTGACAGCAACTGGCCAGCTGATTGAGCCAATCCAACAAGTTAAGAGATTTAAGATTTGAAAGCAAGGAGCAAAATTGGTCTCACTAACTTATTTAGCAATCCAATAGAAGTGGCCAAACTAAATCAACAAGAGAAAAACTTGCCAAAATAGATTTAGAAACAAAAAACTTAATGAATCAAAAGCTAGGAAGAGCAGAATGGAAGATCAACAAGAAGATCTGAACTCTTAAATGAAAGGAACCTTGATAGAACTGTTTCATTACTTGTCAACAACTGCATACTCCGTACTTCTCATCATGAAGGCAGCTAACCCACCCATTGCATTGTCCAGTATCTACCCTAGGACAATTGTTTTCTTAAATAAAGAAGGAAAAAAATTATGATGATATTAAAGTTGATTGACATTCAGAACGGAGGACATGGATCGAACTATATAATGTGAAATGACCACCAAATTATATTGAATTTTCAACACAGAAGTATATTCCTGAAAATTGAACAGAGTTTTTATTTCCAAGTGAGGTGCAATGTCAAAGATATCACCCTTCCCACTCCATTATCCTCTTTCCTTACAACCTTATACTCTAACTATCAGGTTATCTCTGGTATTTCAAGGCATCATCCCTCATCTTATCACTCAATGAAAACAAGGGCAAAGTACACATGTAATCAACTATATCCTCAACATCATATACAGTAATACAGAGTAATAACTACAGGCCATGTTAGATAAAATCTTTAAAAATTCTTTTTCTTAAATGCTTCCAAACCTTTAGACCTTCAAATTAATCAGCAAGGAAGACATAATTATCTTCCACTTAAAGCAAACTGTAAACGCAAAAGCAAGCTATCATAGCCAGTAAAAAATTTAACAATCACCTTTAGAGTCACAGTTAAACACTTAGACTTAATGGAAAGCATAAGGACATAATGTGCATTTGCTTTTTAGTTCCAATACAGATGAGCACCAACTGTATAGTGGACTCATGTAAAATGCCATCCAAACTAAAACTAATTCAAATTTCAAAGGTCACATATATCATACTTAAACCTACATTTCACTTACACAAAAACAAGGAAACTTAAAAGGTAGATTTTGTCAAAATACCAATGCAATGATTCACACCGTGAGGTAAATTTCAGGCCCAATCAAGCCATCCACTCTGTATCACGTATTACTTTGATGACCATCAATGTAACATGTAAATGGAAATCAAAATCAAGAAGCACAAGGAACAAAGATTTCTAAGAATGTAAGGACAAAATGAAGGAAAAGAAGAAATCTAGTTTAACAAAGAAACTAGAGATTAAAAAAAATCTAATTAAACATATTCAATTCCCACTTCCTATGGAAATGAAAAAAAGAAATGCCAAAAACATAAGTTTCCAAAAATTTTAAACAAATTTAGGAAATGAGGAAATATAACTAGCAACTACGAAGCAAAACAGAAATAAAGGAACTCTTAACTACTACATTTTTTTACAAAAAAACTCCCACCCACCCCCCACCCCTGTTTCTCTTCCGAGCATCAATTCCCTCTTCCTACAGTTTAATATACTCCCCCGGAATAGATAAAGAGAGGAAAGGGAAGGAAATAAAAAGCAAGAGAGAGGCTGAGAACACATTTGAAAACTTTATTCTCCACTATTTGGTGTCTTGAATCTGCAAATATATCACGTAGAAAGATAGCAATTACAATAAGTGGTAGGTGCAAAAGAAAACTACATATCTTGAAAGAATCATAAATATAACTCCCCTCAATTGAGAGATGGGATCAATCAATAATCCCATAAGTAGGGTGGGCTACTGGGCTACATGAACCACAAGTGATTATTTCGTATCCAGAAAAATGTTCCTCCTCCAACCTTTACGAGATGGGATCATATAAGGTAATTCAACTACTCTGCAGCCAGCTGCTGCATGCAGTATCTGTTAGGATATTGATTAAGAATGTAATACTTTGCTCAACTGATGATTATGTAACCCTTTCAACTGATCATGAACCAATCAACCCAAAAAATTACTATTATATCTCACTTTTTTCCCGCTTTCAGCAAGGTTATTGAAAGAGAAAATCCATATAAGAAAGGTGATTCATTCCCTTCATCTGAAATATGTCCCGACCAATTCCAGACTTCCAGTAAACTCCTTATTTCCTTTTAGCTTAAAAACATTTTAAGAAAAAGGTCCTCCTTTCTCTAAAACACCACTGAAAAATGCTAAATTTGGGCTTTCCTACCAAAATCCACAATGACTCCACCTCTTATCCTCAAATCATATCATAATCCACACCAAAGCTCATACAATTTTCAAATACATTGCCTACTCATGCTACCACCATTCCTCAAGCTCATATTTGTATCATTCAATTGAGTAGAACATCAACGTTCCCATAAAAGATCCAACATCGGACACAGTTAACCGAAAAATACATGGACAACGACCATGATCTTCAAACCTGTAAATCCCTAACAATACTTCATCCCTCACACGATTTACTCTCACATTTCATCTTACCACTACCATATTCTATCCTACAATACCATACACTCCGAACCCCAATTCAAAACCATACAAATCTCCTCCATTGAAACCCAAGTTTAAATTCAACTAACTCAGTTAAATTATGTAATCCACAAATACAAGCACAACTTTCCACAAACCCTAACACAGCAAATCAAGTAATATAAGAAAACCCAATTGCAAATTTAGGTTTTCAACCCTCAAACAAACAAAACAAAACAAAATTAGGGTTTCATCATGCTGATAAGCTTAAATCAAACGCAAGAAAACAAATGCAAGACCAAAATAAGATACCAAATACCCTAAAATTGGGGGAAAACAGCGAGAAAACCCTAACCTGCAAACTAATATTACGGAATCGTTCTTGAGCATCACTCATACTAAAAGAACGATCACGTTTAGAGCAAATCTCTCTCCTCTGAAGCTTCCTAACACTATTTACAAACCCATCAACACCACCACCTCTCGGCCGCTTTTTCGCCACGACTCGTCGAACGCTGCAAGGCCTAGGGCTCGCCGATATTCTTCTCCCATCCATTGTTTCTCTCTCTACAATTCGAGTATCAAAACCCCAGAAAAATCGACAAATTCCCAAGCTTTTAGCAGCTAAAAACCCACATTCGGCATCAAATTGAACACCCAATTAGTTGAAAAATAAAGGGTTTTTAATTAATTTTTGAGAGAGAGAAAACAAAATCAAAAGCATGAGTTTTTCAAACCCCAGATGAAAATCAACTTAACAGGATCTAGGGCTTTTTTCCTCTTCTTCTTCAACCCTTTTCCTCTCTCTCTCTTATTGAAGTAGTGATTGAGTAACAGTGAAGAAGAAGGAGAGTTTGCGTCGATTACTTTCTCTCTCTTCTTTCTCTCTCTACTCTCTACTCTCTCTCTCTCCTGCGTTGAGGAAGAAGACAGGAGAATGTGGGGAGAGGGAGAAGAGAATTATAAAAAGGGGGAAAAATTTTACAGAGAGAAAACAAGGAACAAAGAAAGAGTAGAACGATTTCCCTAGAAATTGTTTAAATAAAAATTAATTTCCAATTTGCATCGTTTAAAAAACTTATTCCCTAAATAGTGTCCACGTACTTCTTATACACGTATTTTTTTTTAAGGGTAAAATCGCAATCGATGACAGCGGTATTTTTTTTTTAAATTAATTTCCAATTGGGTATAGTATTAGCTTTGTATTTTTTTTTAAGGGTAAAATCGCAATCGATGACAGCGGTTATACAAACTAGTTCTTACACACGTATTTTACCGCATCTGACATCTCCCCCCTGTCCGAGTGTCTTCCACTCTTCCTATTTCTCTCTCCTCAAGTTTCACTGTTGTTTTGTTTTTTCATTTCAAACCTTTTCTTTCTTCTTAGATCTTCTCACTCTTCTTTCTCTCTCTAAAACACCAGTTTTTATTTGTAATTGTATTGTCTTCAAAAAAAAATTGTAGTTTTGTATTGATTTTCTTAGTAATTTCGTACAATTAAAAATTTTGGGTGATTTTATTTTGATATAATCTCACTATTTTTTGGGTAATTTTGTTTTGATTTAATCATTTGAAACACAAGTTTATTAAGAGTATAAAGACGTTGAAACCAAAGCCGACTTATGATGAAATTGAAGATGAAGATGATGTTGAACTTGAGTAGAGTAGAAGATGACGGAATTCATGGATGAAGTTGAGAGCTTGGACGCCATTAAAATTGCTGCGATTTAATATCACTATTTTTTGGGCAATTTCATACAATTATGAATTCTTTTTTTTTTTACTTCATGTTTTAATTTTAGGGAAATATCTCAACATCAACCTCAAGAACTTCAAACAATTTTGCAGAAAGAACATAAAATCGTTGCCAACAATTGCGGTTTTGCAAATGTAAAACCGCTATCACCAATTGCGGTTTTAAACCGAACCCAAAAAAAAATACAAAGCTAATACCCGATCCTACGTGGACACTATTCAGGGAATAAGTTTTTTAAACGACCCAAATTAGGAATTAATTTTGATTTAAACAATTTCTAGGGAAATCGTTCAGAAAGAGTAGATTTGGTTTTCAAATTTTGGGGGTGAATTTTTTTTTTTTTAAGTAGGGAACTTATAATGACCCTTTTGACTATCATATGCTCAAATTTCAAGTGAAATTTTTTCAAAAATCTTGGAGGGGAAATGGTAAGGGTAACCTTAACCTACAATAAAAATCTAGATGGAGAAGTATTGCCGCATAAGGCCTATTTTGCCAATGTAACAAATATGATGATATTTTAGTAAATAATGGAAACATGAGATAAAGTTATGGTACAAAATTTATGGCAAAAAGTACCACTACATGCATAATGGTGCATTAAATGTACCACTACATGCATAATGGTGCATTAAATGTACCACTGTACCATTATGAGGAGGGAAAAAAATTACAAATCCCAAAATACCTTCCTATAAGCATGTAAAATACATAGGCTCTATACGCCTAAATGTACTCAATCTAAATTAAGAAAGATTATGAAGCGATGGTATAAGAAAATAATAATGATACTCCGTACAAAATATCAGAGAGAGAATGGATATATTGTGATTATTTCCTATTTGAAGATGAATTGTTTGGTATTTTCTATCATCTAAGAAATGAGATTGGAAGGTAATGTTATTTTAGTTCAATAAAAATAAATATAATAATTATCTTTAGAGACTTGTAATTTTTTAGAGATAATGTGAGAAATTTATGGAATATTTTGTACCGAGTATCAAATGTGTTTGGTGCTAATAATCATAAATATCATTTTTAAGAAGATTTGTTGAATATTTTCCTTTAAAGATACATAATATAAAGGTAATCTCGTGTTTATCGCTTCATGCTTAGCTAATGTTGTGCGTTAAGACCCTAAAGGAAACATTCATTGCCTTATCGATAAGGCAATGTTCGTTCTTTGATCGGCCTCGCTACATAATAGTTCATTTTGACCGTTGGTTATCATCTTTATTCTTCCACTCCTTATAACTTTTGCTTTATTTCTCTCAAAAAAAAAATCGCTTTATTGCATTTAATGGGTTTAATTAAATATTTTCTTTTATGCCTCTATTATTTATACTTGATGTTAAGACGTTACATTAAGTATTTTTGCTTATTATTCAACCCATTGATTTGGGAGTTACGGGTATTTACAATTTCTTAGAGATCTTGTATGTTCTTAATGCCTTATCATTCTATATATGTAGACTTATAGAGTATATGTGTTAATTGAAAAGGCACACATTCCTTCTGTTCTTTATAGACATAAGTCCATGCAACTCCAAGCTCTCACGCAAGAGTGCATTTGTGGGAAGAGCGACGTGTTGACCTTAGAGAACAAATAGATGAATACCGTTTTCAGGAAATGGACTACCACAACGCAATTTTTCATTGCTGATTTTATAACCCGTCTTTATTCCAACAACTAATACCGCATTAAGGGCGAAGCCGGGGGCTGGTGGAGGGCCAGCCCAACTTTGTGGCTTTTAAACTTACTCTTGGCCTCTACAACATTTTGTACATAAACTAAGTATCTCAAGGTTAAATTGAAGTGTAGCTTTTGGCATAGTGATATTAGGCCTCCAGCTTTAAATTTTCACTCTCCAAGATGCCGTGGTCAAACTTCTTTAGGATTAATCTGCTAGCTTCGAAACTTTGTGGACTATTTACATTAAAGGTAACATTTTTATATTTGCTAAACTTTGAGTGTGAACCTAAACTACTACTATATGCAAAAATGTATAATTACAATTCCAATAAGTGTTAGGGCTTGTTCTCATTGACTGAAATGAGCTGAACCCTGAATTGAACTTATTAGAGCTGAAATGAATATTTTATAAGAGAAAGAAATTAGGAACTAAACTGAACTTTTTAGAGCTGAACTGAACTATCTGATGAGAATAGGCCCTTAAAAAAATAAGTTAATAGTATCATGCATTAATTATAAGCAATTCAACAAATACATTTATATTTTTTAAATTAAAGTATCAACAAACTAACCAGCTTCATAACTCTATAATCTTTGCGTTCCCATTGGCATTAACCATGTTCAGCCATATGATGCAACCATAACCACAACCACCTCACAATTTTTTGATTTTATTTGCAATTTACCACCCATTTGAGTATGCCACACTATTCTTTACCCTCTTTAATTAGCAACTAGTTAATCTCCATCATATATATCATACTTCATATATCTTCAACATCAAAACTCACATAAACCCCACCATAATCATGTGTGCAAGTAACATTCACGGCTACAAAAAGCTCCTATCGAGTCCCTTGTAAATGACCTAACGAGTCGCCTAAAGGCGACTCCACAGCCAACGACACAATAAATTCCAACTTTAGGATTCGTCGATAGCTTTTATATAAGTTGGCTATTAGTTGTTAGGTGACTCTATATGTTAAGCTATTATGTTGCTTGTATTGAAAGAGGTGACTCTATAGGTTAATCTATTGTGTCGCTTTTGTTAAGAGGCGATACGTAAAAAAATCAACATTTTTTCCAGCTGTTTTTATTAGCTCATATAATATCAATGTTTGACACTTTGCATGCTTGATCTCTAGTTCTTTGCCTCGAAGGTTGAAGTTCTTACCATTATGCCAAAGTTATATGTATGAAAAATGAGAATGTAACTATTTCAAATACTACGTAATTGTAACAATCAACCTATCGAATCGCGTCTTACGTATTAGGTGACTTATTATGTAGTGGTCATATATTAAATCACTCTAACAAGTTAGACATTTAGAGTTACCTGTATATAAGGTGCGACTTATAAACCTATCGAGTCACTACATACTTATTAGGCGACTTGTTAAGCTGGGGTTAAAATCAACAAAACTATTATGGAAAATATAGTGTTTTACTACTATTATAGAGAATTTTAACATTAAAACATAGTTTCTCTGGGTTTTTTTTTTTAATTGACACATTTCTATTATTATGCTTGCCAACACATGTTTTTAACGATTAATATCTCAAATTATCATCATTATAAAATTATAAAAAGTGGATATTGATAAAATATATATTGAAACGATTCAAACAAGATCCCACATGAACATGTTTTATCGTAATATATAAATCACAAAAGTTAATCAAAGCGTGTTGTATAAATAGTAAAAAGGTCAAACGGTGTCAACTAAAAAAAGGGAAAATATGCCGCTTGAATCGAACCACATCACAATGGTGGTGATGGACAAGAATGAGGATGTCATATTGTGAGAATTAGGATCATTTTCAACAAATAATTCTCAATTACTTTTCCACTTTATTTGATTTGAATTCTCTTAAGTCTAATTGGCCCCTCAACGTTTTAGCCTATGATATGAATGAGTCCTTTGTTACTATAAATCAATAGATATCATTACATCGCCCACCCACCAAGGAAGAAGCCATAATGATTTAGGAGTCGCTCTATTTATTTTTTTTTATTTATTTATTTTTTTTTTTATTTTTTTTTTTAAGGGAAGCAATGACCTTGATTACGAAATACTTGAAATGCAAGAGCTCTAGCACCTTAGCAAGCCTCTTCATATCCCTACATTATAAAATGTAGAAAATAACTCTTAGGAATAGTGTGCTACCAACTATACTTTTAAAAATATGTACAAAAATGTGTATTTACTTTTTTACCCTCATTAATATGTTTGTCTCATTAATATATTTAATGTTTTTTTTTTCATCAAACATATCATCAATTAATTCAAAAAAAAAATATTTAACAAAATATTGTAATGCCTATTTTAAAATATTAACATTATACTTCATATGTTATTATTATTATTATTCAAAAAGATAAAAAAAAATTGTATTTACGAAGAGATTGTTTATTACCAAGAGACTTTATTTTTACTCCTTCGTGGTTGCTCTTCTTATTTACAATCTTGTCGTCCTTTAATTGCAACATTATTGTTAAGGTTTATTAGCTTTTGAATTGTACGTTGTTTGATGACACATAAAT